AGGTCCGGGACATGAACCGTGGTCGACTACGTGGGAGTCCAGCAACATAGCCATTACGCTAACTGCTGGTTCCCCCTCAGACTCCTTTTTATAAAGACTTCTTGTGTGGAGACAGCAGATGGCCTAGCAGTTACATCACTGGACTCTCACATGGTCAACTGCAGTTTAAGTCCCAGACCTGGTGGCTTGACAATCGTACCCTTTGAGTGTGCATCTATGCCCAAGATCTCAGGACGATAATGGAGGAGAAGGGATTACAGTATGGCCAATTCCCCTGGGGGGTGATTTATTGCTGTCCCTCTCACTGTCTCTGTCGCTCTCTCTCTCCAATGAGTTCACACACCCTAAAGCAAAAATCTCTTTTAAAAAAAAATACTTTTGTGATTACACTGGGCCTACCCAGAAAATCCAGGATAATCTTTCCCATCTCAAAATCCTTAATTTAATCATATCAGCACAATTTCCTTTGCCATGCAAGGTAACAAACTTGCAGGTTCCAGGGAATAGGACATGGGACATCTTTGGGGAGCTGTTATTCTATCTACTACAAAACCCATCACAAATAGGAAAATGTGTCTACTAGTTTACCTGACCTAAAAGAATTAGGAAAGTGAATCAATTAGTATTGACACAGAAGTTGTCATTGGTCTTGACTTACTAGGATATACTTGATCTTCCAAGAAAAAAGTGACTTAATAAAATTTTAGATCCAGACATTACTCAAACACCATCTTCCCACAGTGGGAAAAAGAATAGCTTGAAAGATTAGTTCCTTGTTTCAGTTCCTAGAGAATCCACAATGCTAAAACCATGTTGCCAAAATGGATTTATCAGGAAACAAAGTGACAATGAAGGGTAAAAGATGTCTAGGGAAATAGTAATTATGATCATAAGAAAAAAATATGACATTTTTAAAAATCAACATCTGGGGAAATCATAACAAATTGGGCAGGCCCATTTCTGGTGGTGAAGGGAGTCATATGGTCAGGCCTAGATGGCTGACCATGGTCTGAATCCCGTCCCCCAGCAGCTTTAAAAACACATTGGGCAGGGCCAGCAGGTGGTATAATGGCTAAAGCACTAGACTCCCCCATGGTCAACTGTCATTCAAGTACCAAGCCCACGAGCTTAAAAATCATGCTGGGAGGACCAGCAGTTGGCATAATGGCTATGTCACTGGATTCCCATGTAGTCGACCGCGGTTCGCATCCCGGACCCAGTGGCTTAAACTCACGCCGAGCGCGTGTACCTGTGCGCCCAAAATCCGAGAGAAGAATGGAGGAGAAGGGATTGCAGCGTGGCCATACCACCCTGGAGTAATTTCTTGCTTTCTGTCTCTCTGTTTCTCTCTGTCTTTCTGGCGAGCACACACACACCCTATAGCAAAAACCTCTCCCCTCCAAAAAAAAATCATGCCAGAAATCTGGACATTCATGCCCAAAATTGCAAAAGAAGAATGGAGAGAAGGGAGTGTGATACGACCATGCACCCAGGGGGTGATTTCTCACTTTTCTTTTCGCTGCCTCTCTCCAGTGAGTGCATGCGTCTGATGGCAAAAACCTAAAGAAAGAACACTGGGCACATGTTCATGGCATGCCCCAAATCCTGACAGAATGGAGAAGTGGAGAAAGGATTGCAGCATGACTGTGCCTTATTGCGGACGCTTTCTCCCCCTCTCTCATGCTCTCTCTCTGGCAAACACACATGCTCTCTGGCAATTTTAAAAAAATAAATAAATAACAAATCACTAAACTGGTATCACTAATTTAAGAAACCTTAGCACTGCATGGGGACCAGAATCAGGAGAAGGGACAGAAGGACAACAGAGTTATTTATTCTGAGTCTCCAAGCTTGACGTGCTTTACAATTTAATTATTATTAGCCAAAACCTGGGTACAACCCAAATTTCCATCTACAGTGATTACATGAACAAACTATGGTATATCCATACAATTGAATAGTACCCAGCGGGGACCAGCAGGTGGCGTGGTGATTAAGGTGCTGGACACTCCCACATGGCCAACCACGGTTTGAGTCCCAGACCTGGTGGCTTTCTTTCTCACTTTCCCTCTCTCTTGCTCTGTGTCTCTCTCTGGCCAAATTAAAATAAATGAATGAATAAATAAAATTAAATAATTCTTTTAAAAAATTCCTAAAAAAAAAAAAATAGTACCCAGCTATAACATCCAACAAATTACTGATACTTAAATAGACAATGCATAACAAATACTGGCTATGATGTGGAGTAAAAGGAATGCTTGTACACTGTTGGTAGAAACATAAACTAGTATAGACATAGAAAATCATATGGAGCTGGGACAAGCAGTTAGCATAAAGGCTATGTCGCTGGACTCCCACATGGTCGACGGCAGTTCGAGTCCCGGACCCGGTGGCTTAAACTCACGCCGGGCGCGTGTGCGCGCGTGCCCAAGATCCCGAGAGGAGAATGAAGGAGAAGGGATTGCAGTGTGGCCATCCCCCCTGGGGGGTGATTTCTCACCTTCTGTCTCTCTGTCTCTCTCTGTCTGTCCGGCGAGCACACGCGCCCTATAGCAAAAATCTCTAAAAAAAAAAAAAAAAAAAGAAAGAAAAGAAAAGGAAATCATATGGAGCTGCTTCAAAAAGCTAAAAATAGAACTACCTTATGACCCACCAATCCAATTACTGAGAATATAGTCAAAGAAAAGGAAATAAGCATGTAGGAGAGATATCTGCACTTACATGTTCATGCAGCCCTACTCACAACAGCCAAAACATGAAAATTATCCATCAGCAAATGAATGGATAAAGAAAATGTGGCATATCCACAGTGGAATACCACTAGTGAACCATTATAAAAATTCTGTCATTCGAGGCAATATGGATAAGCCTAGAAGACATAAGACCACAACGCAAATGATCATTTCATCCTTGAATGGTATCCTCTCCCTATTTTTCTAGGATCCACATTCCCCCCAGTTACTTATAATTCTTCATAGGTAGCAAGCTGCCCACATAAGTGGGAAAAGTTGGTTTTCTTGACCACAATCCAGAGACAGATGCCATAGGACCCCCTTACTTCTATATAAAGGTAGCCCTCCCTCCTTCACTTCACTCTCTAAACTTTAAGTGCTAGAGTAGGGGCTGGCAAGTAGTGTGGTAGACTCCCACCTGGCTGGCTGTGGTTCGAGTCCTGGACCTAGAGGCTTGCCTTCTCACTTTCTCTCTCTCTCTCTCTCATCAAATTAAAAAATAATGATAATAAGATTCTTAAATTAAATAAAAAAAATTTTGGAGAGGTTTTCGCTATAGGGCACATGCACTTACCATAAAGACAGAGAGAAACAGAGAGACAGAAAGCAAGAAATCACCCCCCAGGGGGGATGGCCAGGCCACAATCCCTTCTCCTCCTTTCTCCTCTCAGGATCTTGGGCACACACTCACACGTAACTGGTGTGAGTTTAAGCCACCAGGTCCGGGACTCGAACCACAGTCGACTACATGGGAGTCCAGCAACATAGCCATTGTGCTAACTGCTGGTCCCAATAATTATTTTTAAAAGCAAGTGCTACAGTCCCTATCCATATTTATTCTATCCATATTTTTTAAAAATGTTGACTATACATGATACTTTCATATTTTAAAGCCATCAGCTAGTAAGTCACTTTATATAGAGATTTTTTTCTCTTCATTTTTTAACCTCCTTTGTAATAAGTTATCTTTGTATTTTATTTCATTCACTTCAACCCTTTTCTTATAGAACAGGAGTATTTCACTAAGAATGTATTTGCTTGTTCACAGATCAGTGTTCATATTATGTTGTGTTTGGTTTATAATACATAGATATCATATTTTGATATCTTTATATGCTGTGATCAGTTTTATTTGACATTTTAATGTAATTACTGTCCAGTATATGCTAAAATTTTTTTAGAAACTAATTCAGTAAATAATAAATGCATGCTAATAAAACCCTCTGCCTATTCACTGAAAGTCTGTCCCTTACTGTATTCTCCCCTTACTATATACATGTTCCACAGGAAATCTCAGGTACATTTCAACCACAGCCTTCATGGTGACCTACAGGGTAATAATACCAGAACTACATCCAGAGCAATGCTGTAGATAAACATTCAAATTATAGTGAAATACTTCCAAAACTGGTATTTTTACCAATTTATCTACCTTTTAAAACTAACTTTTGCCAAAAGGAAGATTATAAAAAGGCCTGGCTGCTAAAGAATTAGAGAATTTTAGAAAGGGATTTATTTGTAGAGGAGGTCACTTCCCCTCAGGCCAAGAGAGCAGAGCATCCAGGAATCACTCACAGCTTAATACTTAATACCCCCACACACACAAGAGTAAAGGGACAGATAGGGGAGTTTGTGTTGACAGGGAAGGGAGTGACAAGTCAGGGATCAGCCTGCGTCCTCGGAGTTCCTCCCCAGCAAACCTGGGCCATGCACAAGAGAGAGTAAGAATGGCGTTGCCTGGACCCTTGGACTGCTGAAATGAGATTGTGTCTGACATGCTGCAGCTATACAAACAAACAGAAAAATCGCAGGATTGCCCCACTGCTCACTCAGGAGCACGGAAAGAACTTCTTCTAGGAAAAAAGTCTGAAAGGACAGAAGGTGACAGAGGACATTTGTGTTCTGACTCCAGTTCACTCAAGTGGCTTGTTCAGCCCAACGGTTACACACTCCCCCACCCCTGCCCCAATTTGGAAGTCCTCCTAAAGCTTAACACTGTCTTCCAGCTGAGAAGGAAAAATGGAATTCTTTCCCAAAATCAGGTCATCATGACCATAATAGGCAGTTGCAGACTTCCGTATCTGGCTATTTAAGAATACAAATATAAACTTATTGAAGAAATAACTGATAACTTTTTCCCAAATGAGCTTAGAAAAAGAATAGAAAGTCCCTTTAGTTTCATGATGGATGCCAATGGAAGAAAGTTTGACCTGAGAAAAGTAAAAGGAGGAGAGGGGAGAGAGAACGAGAAACACACATGGCTCTCACCCAGGCCTTGATTCTCCTGTTCCCACTCAATGGGGTCAGGCACTTGGTAGGTGACTCCGTCCAATGGGTCCAGGCTTCCCTGCTCAAGACCAGGCTCCTGGGATGTGACTCCAGGGACAGTAAATGCTGGCAGCTCAGTGTCACCATCCAAGCTCTCATCCAGGGAATCTGCATCTTTGTCTTCTTCATCTTCTTCCTCATCTTCCTCTTCTTCATCTTCATCTTCTTCATCCTCTTCATCTTCATCATCTTCTCCCTCTAGGAAAAAATTAAACAAAAGAGAAAGTGAAGATACAAATGAATCTTTCAAAGTGATGTAAACACTGCAAAACAATCACATCTGGCCTTTTAAAACACAGGCTCATAGCTGAAGTTGGACAAGACGAGCTTTGCAAGATTATGTGCCCACCACATGCTCTGCATTTTAAGCTTTCAGCCTCACAACTACATCAGATAAGTACTGCACATCATGTTTATTGGAAATCAAATTTCAGGTAACAAGAATTGTTACTAGGGAACCAGCAGTTAGCGTAATGGCTATGTCGCTGGACTCCCATGTAGTCGACCGCGGTTCGCGTCTCGGACCCGGTGGCTTAAATCTCACGCCGGGCGCGTGTGCGTGCGTGCCCAAGATCCCGAGAGGAGAATGGAGGAGAAGGGATTGCGGCGTGACCATCCCACCTGGGGGGTGATTTCTCGCTTTCTGTCTCTATGTCTCTGTCTGTCTGGCGAGCGCACGCGCCCTATAGTGAAAACCTCTCCAAAAAAAAAAAGAATTGTTACTAAAGTCATTTGCATGTACAAGGGTACATCCCCTTCCTGTTTCTGGAGGCCATTAAAGGTTTATCAGCTAGAAAGCACACTGAAATACTGACAGAACTTAAAAGGAGTGGTTCTTATCCCTTTATAATTCATACTATTAAAGAAGACAGTTCGTTATTTGGGCATTTTCTTTCTATTCTTTCAGTGAGCAGAACTCACAACTAAGTTAAGTGAGAGAGACACAAATCCACTCTTAGATCCCCTTCTCCCTATGGAGTAATCCCAGAAACTAGAAACAATGCACCAATATTCTCAGTATAATTCTAAAGGGATTGGGAAATGCAATATTTATCAAAGACTGTCAGAAAAGCAACACATTAAAAAAATTGGGACCAGCAATTGGCGTAATGGCTATGTCGCTGGACTCCCACGTGGTCGACCGCAGTTCATGTCCTGGACCCAGTGGCTTAAAACTCACGCTGGGCACGTATGCATGCATGCCCAAGATCCCGAGAGGAGAACGGAGGAAAAGGGATTGTGGCATGGCCATCCCCCCTGGGAGGTGATTTCTCACTTTCTGTCTCTCTGTCTCTGTCTGTCTGGCGAGCAAATGCGCCCTATAGCGAAAAAAAAAATTATCATTATCATTATCACCATTATGAGTGATGATAATGATATAAATGTTAATGTCAATCTTTATGCTTTTATAATCTGTCAATCTTTATGCTTCAAATGGAGTGAGTGTGAGGAACATACAATCCCTGATTTTATTTTGTTTTAACAATTTTAATTTTCTAAGGATGTTTCAAGGCCCCACCCTCACTATCCATGCATCCCTGAAGGCCCTGGTGAAAGCCTTTTAAATAAAACCTCTAAAAAATACCTCTAGCCTGTTTTGTTTTGTTTTGTTTTGTTTATCCAGGCACCTCCTTTATTTTTCTCTCCATCCCCCCAGGTCTTTCGAGGAAGGTACTTCTAGGTCATTGTCTCTTCATGGTGCTCTCGATGTATGACTCCAACAGGAAGATAGTTTCATCCACCTGGAGCTCACTGGCATCCAACTTGTTGACGTTACGTTTCAGGGTCTCTAGCTGCTGACGTTCAGGGGCTGTGATCATCTCCTCTATTTCCTGTAGTTGGGCCTCCTCTGCACCCATAGCCTGCATAGATGCGATGATTGCTTCTACCCTCTGAGACTTTTCTAGTAGACGCTTGTTCTCTCTGGCTTCAAACTGCCTCCTTTCTATCAAGTTGGCTATGCTCTTATAGCACCTGTGCAATAACATTCGGGCAACTGACAGAACATTCACGATGTATAAGTAGAAGGTCCTGGATGGGGCATGGTCTGGTGTTTTGGGAATTTCCTGAAGTGACATGAAATTTTCTGAAAGCATCTTATACAGCATATCCTTTGCTTCCTTTGCAGGAATCATGGCAAAGTCTTCCACCTGCTTTTGCTCCAGGTGTTTCTTTTGCAAAACTAGGCAGAATATTCTGGCACAGCGAGACCCAAATCTCTCCTGTACAACAGACTCCAGCGTGGCTGTGGCTAGGGATGCTAATGCCTTATGGAGACTGATGACATACATTCCTCCACCACTGTCGCCAGACTTTCCAACAAACTCCAGTGGATCATCTGCCAGAAGAGTAAGATACTGATCAAGAACTTGCTTCGAGATGTTATAGCCGACGGGTAGGGACCTAAAGATCTCATTGGAAAACAAGGGCAGGGTAAAGGGAGCACTGGAGGGAGTGGTAATCTCACTCATCCGGAGCATGGTCCGCACAATCTCACTGCTTGTCTGGTCCATTCTGTTGGCTACTGCACTCATGATGGCCTGGTCACGGAAGTGTTGGCGGAATCTGTCAAGGTTGGCCTGCCAATAAATCCCGTCATCTGGAGTGGGCTCCTTGTTATCTGTGCTATGCTTTGGTCTCTTGGCCTTGGGCTCTCCAGCAGCATCTTCTTCAGATGATCTCCTCCTTTTACCTTTCCCTATCAAGCTCAGCGTAGGAACCAGGTACATGTCCTTCTCAGTAATGACGAGAGTGGGGGCAGGCGGCGGTGGCCCAGACTCTGACTTCTCAGTGGCAGGCACCAAGGGGCAGCGCTGTACAAAGTGCGTGTCTGCCAGTCGCACAAATGTGTTTGATACCTCAGCATAGTCCATGGTCTTGCTATCCTCCATGGTCTCTGTGAGCCTGTCTGTTACTTTCTTCACGACAGCTGACATTGTCATTTTGCCATTCAACAGGAGCTCCTCAACAATCAGCTCTCCAGTGTCACTGTACAGGGTTTTGGTAGTATAGATGTAGCGTGGATACCTAAGCATCCGCAACATCCGACCGCATTGGGCTTCGTACTCCACCACACCACATTTGTGCACTTGATATATCACCAGATTATGTTGGATGAGGACACATAGGGCTTTTTTCACCTGATCCAGCGATGTTCCTGTGTCATGGGCAATTACTCTAAGGGGCTGGCTGCCAGTTCTAATTAGGTGGACTCCAATTTTCTCTACAATCTCTCCAAAATGCTCTTGCAGCAACAATGAACACAGTTTAATCTCTGCTTGAGTCATAGTACTAGAGAATCCTAGACCTCAGGGTCAGTGCAATCCAGGCTGTCAGCCTAAAGCCGCCAAGTCCCCAACTAGCCTTTAAAGCCGCCAAAGCCCCAAACTAGCCTTCCAGCGGCTCCCGCTAGCCGCCGGAGCAGAGGGGGAGCTCACGGCCCTGGCTGGGATGAGGATGGCCACCGAGCAGGACGCGGCCTCTAGCCTGTTTTTATATGTCCTTTAACTTTGTAGGATTTAAAACCTGTCACTATTCAAAAAATTCAACAAATGTTTGTAAAGCCCCTAATGGGTACTGTTTCAGGTACTAGGAATGGAGCAATAACGTCTCTCCTTCATGGAGCTAATATGCTACTCAGAGAGACATATAGCAAACAAATAACTATACCAAAAATACACAAAATTACACTCTGGTTAGAACTGATGAGAAGATGGAAAATGCCAAGCACTGCTATTTTAGACAGAGAGACTAAGGAAACAAATCATCTTGTTTAATTTAGGTCAATATCTCCTAGAAGAACATTTCCAGCAGAGGGAACAGCAGAGGCAAAAGCCTTAAGGCAGGTGTGTGCATGTTGTGTTCATAGAATGGTAAAGAAGATTGGGCTGGGGAAAGGAAAGGTCAGAAAGGAAACTGAAAATGAGATAAAAGGATATAGGAAGGACACACACACACATATATATAGACTATATATATAGCAAATATATGATGTACATATATATTTAATATGTACATATATATTTAATTTTTTTCATTTATTTATTTTTAATTTGCTGTAAAGCATGTGCACTCACCAGAGACAGAGAGAGAGAGAGCAGGAAAGTGAGAAAGCAAGCAGCCAGGTCCAGGACTCAAACCGTGATCCATGCAGGAGCCCAGCACCTCAACCACCACGCCATACTGACATATTTTTAAAGAATGACTCCGGCTGCAGGGTGGAGAGCAGGTTATATCAGGGCAAGACAAAGCAGGAAACCTCACTAAGAGGCTATTTTAAAAACAAACGCAATGGTGGTTCTTTGGACAAGGGCATAGAGTAAGAAGAGGTGAGAGGCAGTCAGATATGAGATGTGATTTGAAGGTAGAGCCTGCTGATACCTACCGTGTAGGGTACAGGAGGAAGAGCTGACATTACTGAAAATGGGAACGAAAGGATAAACAGCAGAACTGAGAGTAGCACTTGAAGTACTTGATTGTGTCATGGCCATGCCTATGACATCCAAATGGGAAGGCTGGAAGTCTAGGAAAGGACAAAGCTAGAGAGAGATAACAATTTGAGACTCACCAACTTGTAAATATTTCAAACCTCGAACCTGGTTGAGATCATCAAGAGGGACAGAAAGAGAAGTGATCTTGTTCACACCCCGGGCAATCCACCCTTCAGGGACTGGCCAGCAGAAAGGGGCAGAGAAGTGGCCACCAGGGTCAGAGAAAAAGTAAAGAGTGTTTGTTTAAAAGAAAGCAAAGAATAAAGCATTTCTAAGGGACTGAGAATGTCCCTCTGGGTTTATACTGCAAGGATATTAGTGATCCTGACAGAAATTGTTTCCATGGAATGACAGGGACAAAACCCCAGGTTGGAATGACTCAAAAATACATAGTTTTGAAAAAAAAAATAGATACAGGAAATACAGAAAACTCCTACATGAAATTTGGTGGAAAGGTGAACATTAGGATGTAGCTGGAAGGAGCTATGGAGTTAGAAATGCAGTCAAGGAAAGGCCTTTTTTTTTTTTAAGTTTTTTTGCCATAGGGCATATGGGCTAGCTGGAAAGAGAGAGCAAGAAAGAGAGAGACAGTGAGAGGGAAAGTGAGAAATCATTCCCAGGGGGGATGGCCATGCTTCAATCCCTTCTCTCCCATTCTCCTTCAGGGATTTTGGGCATGCACACACAAGCAACTGGCGTGATTTTCAA